ACAGGCAGGAAATTCTTTGCTTATGAGGAGAAGTCAGATCATTGCAGAGGTACTAATTTTACACCAAATGAGGACACATTTATAAATGAAGAAAATTATTTTAGCTAATAAAATACTTAAAATACTACACAATGACCCTTTAAGGGACTGCCTGCTGTAGATTGCCCTCTTAAGTCTATTACTCCTCCTTTTGTCATTATGTGTAATGCTGCACACTGTGAGATTTGACAAAATCTTTGTTCTTAACTATTTGCAACTTCTTTGTGTAAAATTTGTATTGTATGCCTGTAAAACTGCAGAATCTTTGTTTCCAACAGCCTGTAGCAAAGACAAGTTAATTTGTCCCAATTTCTTTTACTTGATTGGCCAAAAATAGTAAAAGCCTAAGTAAAATAATCAAACGTGAAATACTTTCATGTAAAATAATTTCTTTGAGTAATTGCATTCACACATTGACATCATATAGGTCTACTACGCAAGCAAAGGGCCTTTTCTTTGACCTCAGCTATTCATAAGTCAATGTTTAAAAAAACAAGGTGTATCCATCTGAAAATGGTCAGGTAAAAAGTACTGGATTGATATATGAAAAATAAGCCTAAAGAAGGATTTTAAATGACCTTCAGAAAGCCTTAATGGAAGTTCTCACTAAGAGGTACTCACTTTGGTAGATAGCGTGTGACAGTGATGATCTTATCTTTGAGACACACTTTATGGAATGTCCGACCCATGCTGAGCCAGTAAACAGTCTCATCTTCCTCAGCTCGACGCAGAGACACCAGACCTTTCACCAGGAACAGAGCGCATATTAATGTTTTTTTTAGTGGGAGATAGTGGGATTTCCTCACAAGTCCAACAGTCTCATCTCATATAGTCAGTGAGATGAATGTAATAAAAAAAAAACTAAAACAAACTAATCTACAATAATGGCAGCGTCATGACTGTAGCTGTATTTGATTTGAAGCAACAATGGGAAAGTAGAACAGTATATTTAAGGATTGCCATTCATACTCAATTATTAAAAATGAAAATGTCTTATTCTCTCCATGATAAAATGCAGTTGTCTGTAAATATTTAAAATACATTTACCTCTGGTATAAAGAGGACTACTACCAAGAGGAACAGTCACAGCAGGCTGTGCTTTTCTGTTACTGGGTTGGACAATGATCTGATATCCCTGCATCAACCTCTGACAGATAAACTCCTCAAACACCTGAGATGCAGTCATCACTGGTGCTTCATCCTCTCGTCTGTGGAAGAGATAGAAAATACAGCAATAACTTCAAAGCACTTTCTGTTTAGGTCACTCAAGCCAGGATATTATCAGTTCTGGATTCTCTATTGCAAAATGTTTCTGAGTTGATTCAGTAGCTTAATAATTAAAGAGAGGGTTGTTTCCAATAATGACTGGCTTATTGTGCAAACCTAACATATACTGATGTCCCGTGAAACCACAAGAAACAGCCAAGCTTAAGATGATAAAAGACTCACAAAGAAAGTTTTTGTCATAATAACACAACCACTGCCATAAGTAATAATATGTGGGTCAGACTGTATTAAGGGCCGATAAGAGCAAGGATCACACACAATTAAGTAGGATTTATAAGGTGATTGGCAAACAGTTCTCTTCTAAAACAGGATAATGTCTACCTTTCCAGATCACTGTGTGGCAGTAGGTCATAGCAGCCTTCAGTGTAATCATTCTGCAGTGTCTGGCGGTCAGGGAAATAGTCTGTTGTGAGCGGAAGGCAGGCTGGTGTGGTTAGGGACTTCCAGTCCACCCCTACCGTGCAACAGAAGCTGGGCACTGTCGGGGGTGCAGACAGCAGCAGGGCTTCACACACACACAAACAAAAAGAAAGAATCCCGACAGCAAAGACAAATGCATGTACCCAGAGGAGAGAGGCACATATGTCGTTGGGGGGGGGGGGCACAGTTGGCACAGAAGGTGAGGTGGATAAGAAATACAAAGAGGTAAGCAAAGTGTGAAGGTAGGAAAGAAAAGAATAAGCAAAGATGGAGATGCAAATTGGAAAAAAGAAACAGAAGGGGGAAGAAGAAACAAGAGAAGAGTTACTTTTCCTGGTGGTATCTTCCACTGCAGGTGTTCATACATGCAGATTGTGGCACTGACACAGTCTGTGATCAGCATCGCCAGCAAGAAAGTGAAAATGCCTCCTAGGCACAACAATAGTGCAGAATAGATTTGAGCATCATGCAAATATACAGAATGTTGATTAAATTTTCAAATAATAAGTTTGAGTGAAAAAGATTTTTTTCCTCAGATGCACAGATTTACAAATCAGGTTATGTTTACTGTACATTAACCCATGCAGAAAAGCAGTAAATTCAAGGCTCATAGAATATATACAGGTCATAGTGTAGGAAAATTTTAGGATGGCAATTAAGTCAAATCATACTCAAAAGGTTTACATAGTAACAGGAAAAGGACTTAGGAAAAGCACTGTAGAAAAAGTAAGGGTACAGAAGGAGAAGGAGAGGGTAACCCCAAACCATATGACCTGTATGAGCCATTTATACCTTCATCCCACAGAGAGCCCCTCAGCCCAGTGGAGAAACCTGCTTGCCAAAGCTAAATAAGCCTTCACAGGTAAAGACCCTCTGAGGGGTTTATTGCCATCATCAGTTTGGTAGTTGAATATATATCACCCTGTTCCAGATGTATATATCAAATAAATTAGAACAATGTATAAACGCAAATTGGTCTTACTTGGATCTGTGTCACTCATGGAAAAGTCATGAAATGAGGTGCTGCGGTTGGTGAGAGTTCCTGCAAACAATTTTATAGTTTCAGCAAAGAATTGTCAGGATGTTTGTAAATTAGGTTTTCAAGATGTGGATATTCTATTAATTGGATTTTGACCAATATTTTCTTAACAGTTCACATGAATCCACAACCATGTTTCAAGGTTATTTCTTATATCTCTTCCGCGATCACAACTCCATCCCTTTAAACTGCAAAAATTAACATAAGTTTGTAGTTCCATCCTTAAAACATTTTTTTTACAAAAAAGGATCACATTTAGTTGAATTATCTCTTTAGTTGACTTTAACTTTGAATGAAAAAAAGTCAGAACTTCCTTGTAATCTTAATGTTCACTAGAATAAGAGACACCTTTGAGAGGCCTAAATAACTACTGCTTGTAAATCTAGATCACAGTTTTAAAAAACCCAATACTGCAGGTTTTAAATGTTTCCCTGCTGAAATACACTTGATTTAATTCAGTGTAGCAGTGCTCTCCCAGCCTTATGTTTTGAGGAGATCCATTTCATCAGAATCAGGAGTTTAGAAGCAGGAAAACTTTCAGGACAATGGCCCTAAAGGTACAGGGTTTGACAATCCGGGTTGTTGACTGGAAACTAAATATAAAGTAAAGCTGAAGGGTTTTGAGAGACTGTGCTTAGATTAAAATAAAATTTGAATATTTGGAATAACTACCCTACAAAATGTGAGACATTCAGTGTGGTGATGAAAAAGAAAAATTGAAGTTATTTAGTGGAGTTTGATTTTATGACAGCAAAAACACAGTGCTTGTTAAGGTCTTTCAACTGCATCTGTTACATTTGACTATAAGAAAACAAGAGTGTCTACAGACCACAAATTTGATGTATTACTTAATTAAACGGAAAACTGTCAAAGAGGTGTGTCATTCACAAGTACTGTATGTCACCTTTGTATAGTGCGCCTCTTTTATACAGTATATGGAGTGGACAAATTTGCAGCATTTTGAGTAGGTATATTACCACTTTGGTTATTTCCAGGACTTCCAGTGAACTCTTCCATCACTCCATATATGGACAGGCTATTTTCCCCTGTTTGCCTTGATGTTGTACGCCTTAAATTAATAGAAACACGTTTAGTTCTTTATAACCTCACTACAATTTGTTATCATCGAAATACATTTTTTAAATTCTTTGTGATTGATTCAAGCATACCTCCCAGTTGCCTCATGATAAGCCAGTTCCAGCAGCTCAGCTGAAGTATGGGCAGGATATCTCTGCTGGCTGCCTTGCAGCTCTGCCATGTTTTGCCTGGTCTGATGATGAATCTGGATTGCCTCTCCAGAAGGACCTGAAAAAACAGTTCCATACAGTTTCAAATTCTAACTTCTTTACAGTATCATGTCTATCATTAAAGACTTATTATTCTACCTGCACATCATTAACCTAATACAACGTGCAGTATTATAGTATATATACGTATACATTTGATGCAAATTTCACACAAAACAACATTTTAGTAAACATTTGCCATTTCACTAAATTCTCTTTATAAATAGAAAATTGTTGATTTCTAATGTAACACATTTCTCAAATAGTTTATTATAACCCTCAGACCTCTGTTAAGTTGGTGTTGTTTCATAGCACTGAGTCACCTCACCGACAGGGAAGGTGTGCATCCAGCGCCGGCGGTTGGATGTGAGCTTCATTGGTATACGGGATGGAGTGAAGGGGTTTATAAGGGCTCTTTGAGGATTGTAACCTCCAGGACGAATGTGTAGCGTGGACTCAGCACTTCCGACAGTGAACCTGCCTGGGGCACTGGAGTCCCTTTGAGAGTCCATCATCTTCTCTAACAAGTCTAATCAAGAAAATTAAAAAATACATTAGGAATAGAACGGAGAAACTGAACATCATAGCCCATGTAGTGTTGATCCTCCAGGGCTTCCGGCTCTGATGTAATTACCTCTGGTACTTGTATATCCCAAAGAGCTGCTAACTTCATACTGAGCAGGAGGCACCCTGGGTATCAGCAGTATGCTGGATACAGGACCCAAACTATCATCAGAGGTTAGGCTTCGCTGTTCCTCTGGACCTCCTGAACGAACAGGAGGAGACATGCCTATGCCTGTGTTGATGTCTGCCGAGCCCCAACTCTTCCTGCCACTCGTCTCCTTGTCACGACCCATCCTTAATAAAAAGCAACCGTTTGTCATTCAAAATGACAGAGGGTTTATATGGCTAATAAGAGAATGTTTACTTCAGTACAGTGTTGTAGAAGCAGTCTGATACCTAAAGTTGGTGCTCCTCTGAATTCGTGAAGGACCCGGAAGTCGAAACACCTGAGCATCATAGGCGTCATAGTCCACCTGAATCAGTAAATTGTTGTCTGTATCCTTTGGCGCGCAGAGGGCTAGCAGAGACCATAATACAGTTATCTGATTTCTGCTCAAATAAAATCAATAAATTGAAGTACACAAGGAAAACAATACTCACTGTGGTCTTTGTTGCTCTTATATTTATCAGCATTAAGCTAGAAAAAATGTAAAACTTTAAAAGATAAGACAACAGAAATGTTATGCTATACGTAATTTGATGGTACTGCCAAAAATGCAAATATACCTTACAACCCGCCATTTTTATTCGTGGGGTGAAGGAACTACAAGAATTCTGACTTTTAGAGGTGTAGAAGCTGTGGATATGGAAGAAAATCATATTAACAAAAAAAAAAGATCAATTGAACATTATAAAATCTGGCAGACATATAAATTGTTAAACATAAAGGTTTACACAGAGGTTTTCTGAATTTGTATTTCTAGTCTGAAGTAGCTCCTCCTGTTTCACCTGTTGATTGAAATTTCAACAAGCATCTTTCCTTGAATGTTGTCAAAAGGTCACCCTCGTGCTCAGATTTGAGCCCTCTTCATGAAAAAAAGACAATGACCTGGAGGCCATAGCCCTGGGGTTATAAGGTAAATTTCCAAAGTAAAGGCATGACCAGACTGCTAGGCAAACAGAAGCCATTTAGAGGCTGATCATTCATCAATAATGTTCATTAAAGGCTATTATTATTGTTACTATTGCTAATAAAGTGTTTTCTTTTGTTCCATTCAGCACCAACATTAGATTTCCAAATTTGTTCAAATATTTCTCAGTATGTAAGAACTTTGATTTACCAGTACGAGTTGTAGATTGTTCATATTTAGTATGTGGAGTTTCATGCTGTGAAATCACAGAAAACAGGAGGTTGCTGCCACTATGTCTATGTTGTCTGTCCATGTCCTTTTTTACACGTTTTACTTTTTTTTTTTTTTTTTAAAGGGTCCTCTGTGGATTTAGATACAAAATATTTATCAGATTTTAAATATTGTTAGGTAATTGTAAATGACAGTTATAGGGTATTGAACAATTTTGAACAAAAAATAGTCTAGTTACACTTTTAATCACTTATACTTTTAGTCTTTTAATGATAACTAGAAAATTTCTGAAGAAATTTTGGAGGGGGGCCACCCGCTGCCCGTCCGGGAACAGGTCGGCCAATCCATATTTGGGCTCTCTGTAATGTGGGCTCGCGCCTATGAGAGGGCCTGAGGTGATGGAGGGACCCGGCTGAGCTCTGGGGCCCGCTGACCGAATGCGGATGGGGTGGGCAGGTCGGGGGTCACGTTGGCTGAAAGCTGAGAAAAAGACCTACGCAACGAGGTATGACATGGCCCCGGTCCGGTTCCGACCCGGTCGGGTCCTATCCCTAGAACCAGAACCAGAACCGGGCTCTGACTAAAGCCCTCTAAGCGGGCTTCGCCCGCCTTGAATCACAAATAACGTATTTCTTTAAAAATCATTGAGAGCGGGCT